TTTTTTTTTTTTTTCTATTATTTCGGGATTTTTATCACTTCCTCTTTGGGAAGCTCTCAGCAGCCTGCGTCGGCTTTCTCCTGCCCTGTGTCGATATTCCTGCCCTGTCGGTATTCCTGTCCTGTGTCGATTCTCCTGCGCCATCATTCATGATTTATTCTTTGTTCGCGCACCTTGTCAGGTTGCATTCGGTCTCCATTGTCTGGTGCTCGTTTCCTCTCGCTTGCCTATTGTCCTTTAATTCCGGGGCAAGTGGTGACCGAACACCGATGCCGATACCGATGCGAACATAAAATCTCTTGGGGCTCTTAAATATGGTGTGCCGCAACCGATAAGACCCTTAACCTTAAAACATTGGACTCTCGAAACCTTAAAACCCGTACTACTGTCGACTCTTCTGCATACTGAACACCCGTGAATACGCGAATTCAGAAAATTGAACGACGCAGATCTCGCCCGGAAGAGGCAGACAATGGGCGCTGCATCGAGGCGCGAACATCGCCCCATAATGATTCTACCCCATCTTTTTTCCCGCTTCTTGTGACCTTTTTTTCTTGACCAGAAGGAAAACACAAAGGCCACGGCCAAGGGTTTAGGTCCCCTGGCTATGCCTCATGATGAGCAGATTTCGTAAAAACCGTAATGGACACATCCGATGTGACTTGAACCTCCCATACTCGCTTATGCCAGCACACCATCTTCTCGAAGTGCTTTCAAAGGGAAGGATCGCGACGGACGGCCACCCGTGTAGAGCTGAGCACAGCAAAATTCATAGGGGGACCAGGTTTGTGAAACTGTCAGAATTCCACAGTAACGAAAACACAACTTATTTCTTGCAGGCTGACCCTGCGCCTTATGGTTAAGGCCGCTCGCAGGTACGCTTTTTCTTGTACTTTCTTCTTTGTTTCCGCCCGTCCCAGCATGGTCTTGTCAGTCGGCACCGCTGTCGTACCATGTGAGTAGGGCTGACAAACCTCGTGCATTCGGTGCTCTGCGCGGCCACGCGGCATAGTAGAAATTTCGTCTATTATGCACCCACTGCAATTGCAGTCGGGAAGGTGGTGCAAATTAGAACATGAGCATGAATATATTCACTCAGATAATGGCGGAAGCCTGCCCCTGATGAATCAACAGGCATCTCAGCCACGTAGCCAATTCGCATTTAGTCATGCGTCTCGCCACGGCATATCGACACAGCCATGGATTTGTAGATCTTTGATCTGCTCGCTCATATGCCACCATTCGGGGTACTTGTAATTGCAGTATGCTAGCCTGTACAGCCGCTTCGGGTCTCCGAAGCATGCGCTAGAACGGCCTCTTTTTTCCTCTTTTGTGTCTGCCCTCTCGTGTCCGTTAATCCTTCCTGCTTTTTCCTCGAATTTTCTGCTTCTTGTACCAAAATCTCAATATTTTGACATGCTCCACAATTGGGGTATGCCTAGCTCGATATTGAACATAAGCCCCCGTTTCCGATCTCTAGTTCTCGTACCATGTCTGCAAACAAAGAGCAAAATCTGAATTGTTCTTGCTTCACTTTGCTTCCACACAAAAAGAGATCAGACAGCTGGTTCTGTGAAGTCCTAGACACCGCCTTTCGTTTCCTGTGCTCAAGATGTACGACTCTTCGTGGGAGAAAGTGAGTCGCTCTTCCCATCCAAATTTGTGGAGCCCTCCCATCGTCACTCCCATAGGCCGAGGCGCCATGTCCGAAACAGAGACCGATCTGTCCAGCCAGTTCCCCATGCTGAGCCCCGCCGACACCCAGCGCAGAGAACGGCTCCCGTCCGTTGACGAAATCCTATTCAAGATCAGGCATCAGGAAACATCCTGCCCACCTTATTCCCAGGAATACCATCTTGTGCCACCCACTTTCCCTCAGGCCTATCAAAACCAACAACAGCCAAGCATAGCCCACTGGCAGCAACCATCGCTACGTACGTCGCAGTACCAGTTCGACCAGCGGGCCGGGTCCAGCCACGCGTGGAAAGACGAAGGTGCCATGAACCCGGGCGGCCCCTTTGCAGCAGCCACGCTCCAAGTAGCATCGGGACCCTTCGTCCCCTCCCTGCCGCTACATACAGCCCAGGGCACGCCGGCCAAGAAAAGGGGCCGCAAGAAGAAGTCCGACACAATATGCTCCCACTGCCAGCTGACACAGACGCCCGAGTGGAGGCGGGGCCCCGACGGCTCGCGCACGCTATGCAACGCGTGTGGCTTGTTCTATCTGAAACTCACAAAGAAGTTTGGGATCCAGGATGCCAACATGGTTTTCGCGTACAAGAAACGCCACAACGAGGTCCAGGACAGGGTCGTGCCGAGCGTGCAGCAGAAAAACCGCTACTTGAGCGAGTCGCTGGCAGACTGACGGGCCGCGGCCATACTCCGGGCAGGAGGAATCATCTTTAGTTCTTGGGCACGTTTTATAACGCAGAATAAACGCTTTTCGTACCACGTGCCTTCACAGGCCCGTAGACGGGGCTCCGCCTCGGTTCCGGCGCGGCTCCAGGGCCTGTCTGTATCCCCGTTTGTCCATGGCTGTCGTTTGGATAGCGAGCTGGGCATTTGCACACTTCACGGTGGCAATCTGGGAAGCCAACAAAGACAAGTGGGCCGCGAGGGCCTCGTGGTTTTCGGGCGCCGCCGGCCCCTTGAAGTTCTGCACAAGTTGGGCCAAGTGCACGAGGTGTTTTTCGACCAGCGCCCCGAGGTTTCCGGGTCGCAAGAGTGCCCTCACGTGCTCCTCCAACTGGCGGAACGAGGGCCCCATGCTTGTGGCGGTTTCGAGCTTTCCACCCGAGTCTTTCAGCGAGTAGTTGGCGTGGTTCTGCACGGTCGCCACGGCGGTGACCTCAGATTCGCCGGGCACCAAGGAGTAGGGCACCGGGGCCCCGGAGTCCACCGAAAAACACTCGTACCGGCCCTCGGCACATGGGACCATGTAGATGAGAGGCTCCAGAACGCCAGATTCAGCCAACTGGCATGCGAAACGCCGGGGTACTTCGCGGTTGGGGTCGCAGCAATAGAGCCCGACAAGCCCGGCAGCCGGCACCACCGTCTGGAGAAGCGCGAGCTTCTTCTGAAGGAATTCCACGTCCATCCCACCGGCATCATGTTTGATGTCAAAGGCGTCAGTCACGGTCACAGATTGCGGGAGCCGCAGGCCGACCAACGCGCCGTAGCGGAAAGCCGAGGCCCGCGAGATATGGTCCGCCATAGCCAAAAGCGGCAATGCCCTCGTTTTAACGTCCATTCGGGTCCAAGGTGTCAGAAGCAGAGGGAAGACAGAACGGGCCGAGCACGTGATGTGCCGATATGGGGGGACGCCGGCGTGCGGCGGCGCCGGCACGTGACCGGCCCACTGCCCTGTGCTGCCCGGCCAGCCGGGGACCGAAAAGAAGACCAGAAATTTTGAGCAGGGACGGGGCGTTGGATGCGGCAGGTGGGGTATTGGAGAGGTGTGTTTTTAAGTCCGCCGGTGTTCCAGGGTATCATAACTGGCGGGATCTGCGGGTCTAATTTAGCGGGGCCGAGCGCGAGGGGCCTATTTATTATTGATGGTGGTGGCTGGTGATAGCCGGCCGTGGCGACGAGCCGGTCTCAAGGGGAAAGTCTTAATTTGAGCTTGTCTCGAGATTTCGTCTCTTTCCTTTTCTTTTTTTTACCTCCGAGACTTCGTCTTTGGAGCAGCGGGGCAGATTTGGGTGACTTGCTTCGACAGTATCGTTGGCAGTGGTGGTGCACCTTGGCCCTGGGAGCATTGGCTCATATGCTGTTCCAGAGCACCGTGCGTGTTCTTTTCCGCGTCCCCCCTCACGGCACGCCGACATGACAGGGGCTCAAAATAGGTGTCGCTTTGGTGTCTTTGACTCACATGGCCATTTTTCAATGGGCGGCGACTCCAGCCATCTTTTCAATTTATTAGTATGTGCTACTTAATGGGAGATTCCGCGTGTAGTGCGCAGAACAAAGGCACCGATGCCTAATTAACCTACCGTTTCTTCCACCGCCAGCCAGAAAAAAAGAAAGAAGCCATGGAGGGTGGGTCTCACTGTAGACTCATGTTGGAACAGGGCTTTGCATTCTCTGTGCTGAAATAGGCTGGACGGAGGATGAGTAATAGACCTGCAAGAGGCGAAGTTAATAGACCTGCAGTAGGCGAGGGTACTAGACCTGCAAGAGGCGAAGATACCAGACCTGCAGTAGGCGAAGATAATACATCCACAAGAGAATAAAAACAAGAGGTTCCCTCAAAAAAGGCAAGGGACCCCCACAAACAAGAAGAATCCGAGAAGAAGAATTTGGACTGCAATGGAATACTTCAACAGGCCTTATAGACCTACAAAAGGTCAGTAGAGCTCAATAGAGAAATCGAACTGAAGTGCCCCATAAAAACTGCATGAAAACCATGAATAGGCTGACAAGAAAAAACTGGACCTCCAGCGAAAACAGACATACAGACCAGCAACAAAAGAAGCAGGGCACCCGGCTCCTCTTCCCTGCTTTCGATGCCCCGGCCCCAACGATCGCAAGGACCCTCGTCACGTGACCCCGCCCTCCGGCGCAGCCGCAGCCCTGCACCCGGCAGCGGAGACCGGCCTGAAAAGGCAAAGGAAAAAAGCCATCGCGCCCCACCTCATCTCCCTGCCTTCTTCAAATCGAAAGGACCGATTTTCCCGCAAAATGATAATGTCCGTGCATGATCCTCTCAGTAGAAAACGCGACATCAAGGAGGCTCGCAAGTCTGCCAAGAGAGCCCGCAAGGACACAAGGGATGACGACATATCCGAGCAAATGTACTCCATCTTCGTCAAGTCTGCCATGGACTCGCTAGAAAAGGTATGTTTCCCAAAGCGGCCTATCCGCCTTTGTCTGGGGGTTTACTCGTTGCGCCAGTACTAACACACACAGAACGACACGCTAAAAGTCAACTCGTTGACGTCCAAAATCAGCTTGCCTGTGGCCCATTCAGATGCCATCTCGCTTCCAAACTTCATCATCGTATTGAAAAGCCTCATTGCCAACATCGCCAAGCTCGACAACTCCGCGTCGGCCGCCTTGTTGACAGCCATCATAAACTATAAATGGCTAGAGGTGCCCCACGAAGCAAAAGCATCTGCCGATTTCGCGGGCTTTCTCGACGTATATGCACAGTTCATCAATGTGCTCGTCTCCTCATACCCCAAGTACCTCCATGACATCATCAAGAAGCTCGTGCGAGAGTTCCCTGACGTAAAGGACGATACCTATCCGCATCACAATCTCCTCAAGAGATTCATCACATACATCCCCACATGCATCAACACAATCCCCTCCACGCTCTCGCGGGAGTTCCCCCACCACTTGTCCTCGGCCCCTGTTGAAATCTTCAACTACGTCAACCACTGCATGACGATCATGAAATACTGTCCGGACTTGCAGTTCCCCGTGTGGCAGATGATCGTGGAGTGCTGCATCAAGTTGGACGTGGAATTGCAGAATGAAATCGACGATTTGGATGACGATCTTATCGAGGAGCTCATCAATGAGGACGACGAGGAAATCGACGATGACATCGACGACGACGAGGATGATCTCGAGACCGGCGCCGAGATCTACGAAATGACCTCCACCAAGAATATCAAGCGGTTGGTTTCTAAACTCGACTCCAGCTTGGAGTTGCTTTTGAAGTCGACGAAGGGTGCCTTCACCGCGGAGGAATTGGACTCGGGAAACGGAGTCAGTCTATTTAACACACTTACTTCTCTATTCAAAACTCACGTCTTGCCCACGCATTTCACCAAATCCGTGCAATATCTCATGTTCCATATTTCACAGTACCAGCCGGAGTTGGCCGATTCTTTCTTGGTCTTGCTCATTGACACCGCCTTCAATCCACTCGAGGTCACCGAGAAGCGCCTCAAGGCCCTTCAGTACTTGGCATCCTACATCTCACGTGCCAAGAACTTGACGAAACATCAGGTAGTTTTCATTGTCACATACTTAATTGGCTGGGTCAACAAGTACATTTCCGAGCGTGAAAAAGAGGTTCTTGACCTTGACTCTGCGAATACAGGCTCCGCTATGCCCACTGCCACAGGTGGCATGGAAAGGTTTAAATTATTCTACGCCACCTTCCAGGCATTGCTTTATATTTTCTGTTTCAGGCACAAGCAGTTGACCCGCGCCCCGGAGGACATCAAAAGCGGGGAGAGCGAGTGGGAAAGCCAGATCGACAAGTTCTTCCTGAGAGTGATTCTCACTAGGTTCAATCCTCTCAAATTTTGCGACGAGACTGTCGTGGCTACTTTCTCCGATATTGCATCGATGCTCGGCGTATGTTTTTGCCAAACTATCATCGACAATAACAGAAGAGAACAGATGGCCCAGGCCACCTCCAACCTTCCTTCATCTGTTGGAAACTTCAGGCATAAACAAGAATTCTTGGACCTTGAAGGATACTTCCCGTTTGACCCCATGGTCCTTCCAAAATGCAAGAAATTAATTAGTGCCAATTATGTTGAGTGGCGAGATGTCAATCCAACTCCAGAGGACGATGAGGACGATGACACTGGAAGCCATGGAGACGACATGGATGATGACGAAGATGACGACGATGATGATGACGATGACGATGATGACGAAGACGAAGACGATGGTGATGACGAGGATGACGATGATGACGATGATCAGGACAACGATCAGGACGATCAGGACGATGATGACATTCACATTGACGACAAGGTTTGCGATGCCACGCGTGCTGCTGAAGACAGTGATGAAGATATCACCAGTGACGAAGAGGAAGATTGAGGAAATGCAAAAAGACTACAGGTCTTTTCTCGCATGGTTTGAAATTTTGCTTTTTGCCATTAATGGTGACGAAACAATATCAGTCTTTATACGCATGGAAAAATAAAGTTTTTTTGCAAAGTTTTATTTTGGCTCGTGACTTGTAGATTTGTCTTGCCGACCTTTGCTTGTTCGACACTGACGATCAGATCGCCGTACTCCGGTTAGATCGGTCGAATCCGCCGCACGAAGTCCCGCAACTCAAGACCATCATGGCCTGCTATGCCCCGCACGACACGCCGTTTTGCAGATCTGATCCCCGGAGGTCGATCGATCGAAAACTTGCCGCACGAAACAAACCGCCAAACACTTTACTTATAGGCTGGCCCTATGATTTTACGTTTGAGCATCCAGACTATGTGTGGCCGACACTAGTTCTGTACGACGCTAAGCAAAGCCCACTTTTCTTATCAAAGCGTTCCATATTTCATTTCTTTACTCTTTACTGTTGTATTATTACTTACTCTTTCTTTTTCACAATATAGTTCGGCTAGACACCGAAACGCATCCATGATTTCATTACGTCGAACATTTAACTCAATTAATGGATTGGAAATACATCACAATGCAAGAGAAATTCATCTTGCTTTTTCGGCGTTTTCACAGGATGTCAGGTCGAAAAACTCTCTACTTGACCAATTGCAAGAGCTTCAACACAAAAATACATTTTGCGTAAACTTGTAAGGCGAACTAATTTTTTCAATGCCTCACGCTGGGCAGTGCTCCCCTGGAATTATATATTACTCTGCTTCAAAAGAGGGAGAGACGATGGTTGGTGACTGAATTTATGTGCCCGGGGTGTTCCTGCAGCATAATATGCTTTCTCATCTGTGACACTAATTCTCAAGTAAGACTGTTTCGACTACTTGGGAGGGTTTTTTAAATCGAAAGTTTTCCCGCATTCAAAATTCGTGAATTGAGCATCGCTTCAAGGCTTCCATTGTCACTCTCACTTTTCGACTTTGTATGCTCCCAGCGTGGTCAAGGAAGAAGCGCATATCACATATTGTCCTTCCCGACGCTCATCATGTTCAAAAATAAAGACTACAAGCCGGCTGGACATAAATAGTAGTTCTATTTCTTAAAAAAAAAAAAAAATCTTCCCTGGGCTAGGCAAACACAGAAGGAAAGGCATGATATTTCAGTATAATACACTGTTGTACATTTACCGAACTAAACTAACATATATGCTTGCGATCTTGCAAAAAAAAATTTGGCATTGATCCATATCAGCGAGACCGAGTGTGCCAAGTATCAACTGATAATTTGTTGGTGGAACATGCTCAAATCTCCGAGACAATTGTGACAGTAGTTTCTTCTTTCGAGAATAAAAAGCGTTCGCCAAATTTTGTCACAATGAGCTTGAATAGTCTGATACATTTATCTGATTTACTTACAATTCCTTTTTATAAAAAACACTATATTATAAGGTGTCACTTGAGGGATGTAAGACTCCACCACTAATGAAAAACTATAAAGAAAAAGCCTATAATAGATCGCAATATTGGCTCAGGTGAGAAGGCGCGAGCACCAATCCACGAAATTACAAGGATTTTTGAAGAGGGTGTCTAGGGAACGAAACTATCAATGTGAGATAAGCGTGAAAGTCAAAGCCTCAAATGTCATGTCATCAACCTGACTACCCCGGTTCTTAATCCCACTTTGCCTATTGTGCCAAAATTTGTCGCATTTTTTTTTGGTAGATTCATCTGATTAAAGAGGCAAAACTATATAAATAATATATGAAAAAACCTTTAAACAGCACCCAGCTACGTTTTTACTGCTTAATCTTAGGGTGTACTGTAATCATTCACCGCTCATCTAAGATAGTATTCCAGGCACTATTCTCAGCTGAAATCTCACAAAACATAATACTTTTCGAGCCAGAGTTTTATTTTTTGCTTCTTATTTTTCTTACTTCAGGTATTTTCCACAGTAGGTTGCATGGTCTAGTTGGTTATGACATTCGCCTCACACGCGAGAGGTCTCGAGTTCGATCCTCGATGGAATCACTACTTTTTTGCTTCTAACATAAAATATATGGTGCAGAAATTAATTGACCTCTTCCAAGAATTTTTAACGTGTTAATCGATTTGTTAACGAATGATTGCCAAGAACACTGTCCAGTCACGACTGCGACTAGGCTATCAGACTGCATTCTGATACTAAGTACGTATTGGAGTTGTTGAAGGGTTTTTATACAATACTCTACAGTTTTTGTACTCAGCTGAATCTACGAAAATAATGTGAAAATTTTCTTCAATGGGCTTTAGCGCAAACAAGAATGTGCCACCTTGGGACTCCTGAATGAGAGATGGCAAATAATGACGAGGATTCATTTCCAAAGAGTCTCATTTCGTCTAACAGTATTAATTAAGCTATGGAAATAGACAATTCGATTATGACGAATGCCACAAAATGCTCGTTCTGCGCATATGTGACTTTGCGAAGTTTAAAGTTTTTTTTTTTTTTTTTTTTTTTTTTTTTTTTTTTTTTT